CTTCTTCCAGTGTACGGGAAGGGAGCTCCGAGCTGAAAATGACTCAATCAAGGAGAAGGCTGGGGATTTCTCTGCACTGATAACAAACCCCCAAGAAATAGACAGAAGTTCCAGGCGCTGCCTGTGGAGAGGCCTCAGCTGAAGATGCTGGAATCCTGCCCCAGTCCCACAGAGTAGGGGTGCTGGCTTTGATAGTCTGGACACAAAATACAGACTAGTATTGAATTCATCCTGATCCTAAGCCACGCTACCAGCTCTAGCCGGGGCAACTCCTTGGCAGGGCCATTAAAAACCGTCCCCCAAAAGGAAAGAGAGAGAGAGAGAGAGAATATATTTATATATACACACAGAGAGAGTGCACATAAGAAGATAACACTCTTTAAAAATTGAGAAGTTATCCTCTGAGAAATTGTTTCTAAGGACAAGAAAAAGAGGAGCAAAATGACACAAAGACACGGGTAGGTTCTGTTAAATTCGTACACATCTTTTCAGACCCTGGGAATGTCCATGTTCAAATAAACAAGCGCCTGAGTGAGAGCTGAGCGCTTTCTTGCAGCCGATAAAGCGAACGTTTAGACTGTGAGAAAGGCGAGATTGATTTACGAATCTGAACGCGCCGGTTTTATGGCCGATCACAAATCCGTCAGCGCTCAACTCACGCTGGGAAACTTCCCAACCTACCCCTCCCCAGCCAGTCACTGCTTCCCAAGGAGATCCACCACCCTGCTTGAGGACTGCCTCCTGGGCTCTGGACACCTCTGCCCAGGTGGTAGGTTTGCAGGGTGCAAGTAGAAGTACAGGGTGCAGGGAACTGGGGGAAAGATAGATATTTTTAAAAATGGAAGGCCTCGCTCTCACTGGAATTGTAGAAAGTGACTTCAGGCAACAGTCTAAAGTGGTTTGTAAGTAAGAGAAAGGTCTGATCCCAGCATTGACCTAAGGGGATCCCTCAGTGAACCCCCAACATTCTCCTTTTATTCTCTCTCTCTCCCTCTCTCTTTGAATCTCACTATATAGCCCAGACCCTGGCTAATTTGGCCTAGGATGACAAGAGCATGTCTGTCCCCACGTCCAGCTGGGATTATCTGAGAAAATTATTTTAAGGTTAGTGCTGGGGATAGAACCCAGGGCCTTAAAGATAGTAGGCAGGCACTCTACCACTAAGCTACTTGCCCACCTTGAACCCTCACATTGCAAAGAGCAGTTTATAAAGCCCTAAATAACTAGGTCTCTGCCACTTGGACCTGCAATTGGTTATCTGCCATTGTTGGTAATGAGTGAACATCTTCTCCAAGCTCCAAATTATTTCCAGTCTAGGACTGGCCCAGCTTGCCTTTCTCTTACACATTTCCTTCCTGAGGACTCGAATCCCTCCATTTATGCTACCCAAAACAAAGAAGGTGTCAATCACACTAGTTATTTCTTGCCTGAGATGGAGCCCCCCAAGTTACAGGAAATAATTTTCAAAATACGAATCATCAACCCATACACGATCCATTTCTCCTTGTCTTACTTCAAAGGGAACATTTCTTTTTCAGTCAAAACGCCTCTTTCAAATTTAGAAAGGTTCTGTGTTCCAGGTTTCTCTGTGATCAGAGCATCTCTTAGCATATTAAAAGTTTCTGCAAACTTTGACTGTTCTGGCAGAACTAGATTTAGGGAGTGGTTAGATTGTGCAGGCAGGGACTCTGAGTAGCTGGGATAAGACTGGAGTTTAATAAGGGAAGAGGATAAAGATGATTACTGTAGTAGCTTTCTAAACAAAGAAACTTCAGAAAAGAAGTTATAAGGCTGTTACAAATTTGGATTAGAGGATACAAAGAAATGTTCTTCTCCCTTTACAGGTAGAGGTCTTAGTCTCTTAGCTCCCTAGAATCTGTTGGACTGAGCCTGTCCAGCCTTTGCTGTGGTATCCCTTTGTCTCCATTCCCCCCAGTTCCCTCCAACTGAACTGGAAAGGAAAGATGACTGGACATGGGAGGGAGGCCTAGTGAAGACAGACCAGCATCTTATATCTTATTCCCCAACTCACCTGTGTGTGAGTAAACCACACACCACACACACACACACACACACACACACACACACACACACACGACCCCGTGGCCTAATATTTTTATTCATTTTTCCCCCAATGAAAAGTAATAGAAAGAAAAAAAAAGCCCAGAAATTCTATGAAAGCAAAGAAGGGTTAGGGTACTAGAGAGGGATAAGAGAAAAGAGAACATGGGACAGACAGCCCAAGGACCCCTCCCTGCAGAGGTGTGACTTTCCCTCCTGGGCAGGAGGCAAGAGCCAACACAATGTCCAGTCTAAGAGAGGTCAAGGGGCTTCCGAGGTCATTTTGTGGTTCTAATACTGAGCTAATCGCCTAGAAAACGTGGCCTCTCCATGAACTCTCTCTCCTGCCAGCCTCCCGCCTCCAAACTCTAAGTGAGGCCTCAGGGAAAAAAGAGCCAGCACATTCAGGTCGGAGGCAGAGCCACAGCCTCCCTCAGCCTGAGAAGCAGGGCCCCAGCAGAGAGAACAGACTCCCTGAGCTCAGAGAGCCAAAGGAAACCAAAATGAACACTGAGCCTCCAGGAAAAAAGGCCAGGGGTCAGAGCAGAAGAGGAATATTTCTGTGTCAATGCATCTTGCCTGTAAACCAAGCAGTTCTCGCTGCAGAGAAAAGCACCGCGGAGAGCCCAAATTTGTCTAGAATCCCAGGCTACACACAAGAAGAAAACCAAACAGATCACATCCCTTTGTGCCAGCTCCAAGACTGTAACACTCACTCCATCCAAGAACTGATTTCATTTTTCCAGGAAATGGCAGTGACAACCCCTCAGAGGTAAAACAGGAATAAAGACACAAGTCCTCAATGTAGATCATCAAAGTCTCAGGAATACAAGGCAAGCACACACCTCGCTAGCTACACACAGGCACACGCTCACACACATGAAGTCTCGCCCCAAATCAGCCTGTGTATTTCAAAATTAGATCAGTGCTTTCTGAGCCATTTCACAAACAGCTTTTTTTTTTTGGCTGGGGCTTTTCATCGGGTGCTGACACCTCAGTTAGAAGCAGTTCAAACACTCTCCAGGTGTCAGGCGCGCGCTCTCTCTCTCTCTCTCTCTTTCTCTCTCTCATTCTAACATCAGTCATCATAAGAGGCAGCAGCAATTTTGCTCCAGTGTCCACTATAAAAGTCCCACAAAGATAGCTGAAAAAGAAAAGGAGGAGGCGAGACGGTTCCTTCTTTCACTTGTGAAAAGAGCTAATAAGCTGATTTTTTAAGAAAGCAATGCCAGGCTAGGGTAGGCCTCCTTTACCTTTGCATCTCTCGCCTCCTCTTGCCCGAGCTCCGCAGGTCCCATTCATGATCAGCTTCTTCCAAACTGAGAGAAAAAAGTTTTCAACTTTATGGCTCCAAATTTTCCCCCTCGCAGATCCGGGAGAGACGGCTAACACTTTTTTCCCCCAACAGCCGGTCTGCGGAGATTTGCTGTTGAATAATAACAAAGGAGAGAGGATACGTATTTAAAGAAAAGAAGTGATTAATGGTTTTCTGTATAATTCTCACATTTTTCTTAGCTCTTGTCTACACAGAATGGCTGTGAACTTTAAGCTCCATAGAAATCTTTTTTTTTTTTTTTAATTCTATTCATACCTTCCAAGGAACAGCTTTGATTTGGTTCTTTAGAGACATTCCTGGGGGGGGGGTATGCTTTTTAAGAGCTATTTCCCCCCTCAGCTCCAAGCTTTTGCATATAAAACATCACGGCTCATCCTCCTCCAGGTCTGGGAGAACATTTATTATTATTTATTATTGCTATTATTAATCTCCCAGTTGCATTTAAAGTGGCAATGCAACCACCCTTTCCTGAACTGGGAATCAGGGGCCGTTTGGTTCCTGGTCCTACCCAGCCTCTAATCACCAATCTGTAAACCTGAGAAATGCAAAATAAATAACAATAAAACATGTAAAAGGCTTTTTTTTTTTGTTTGCTGAAAGGAGATAGGACCACAAAACAAAACAATATCAAAATGACTTTTAATTGTATAAGCTCCTTGGAGTTCAAGATTTTTGGACTGTGAGTGGTGGTATTCTGACCACCACCATTCAAGAGACCCTGAAGGCTGGAGCCTCAGATCTTAGAACTTTCCTTGGTTGTGCTGTTCAAAGCAGCCCAAGCCTCAGAGAGCTTTTTGAGGATCACCTGCACCTCTTCCCCTTCCCCCATTCCATTCTAGGGAAGATGGGGACCTCAGAGACAGACAGCTATTTGGTCCCCAGTCATACTTTCGATACTTTCTATAAGAAAGAAAATGAAAATTAATACAGGAGCAGGGCTTCACAAAAGAGGCCATTTGTCTTCTTGATTATCTATTTGCTTGTCAGAGTTTGAGCTATGGCACCGGCTAGCTCCTTTGTAATATAAAAATACTCGGAAAACCTGCAAACACCCAGAAACATCTGTGCAAAAAATTAGACTCATTAAAGCCTTAAACACCTCAGAGGAAAGCAATACCTTCTTACGCAGGGAGGAAAGAGGCCGGCCTCCTGGAATCCTCTCAGAACTTTAATAACCAAAGAGCCGTCTGTCTAGAAAGAGACAGCTTAACCGCATTTTATTTGCTTATGACAAATAAATCATGATATGAAAGGCTTTGCCATACTTAAGCCTCTTGTGTCCTACAATGAAACATATCCCCCCACCCCAATTAGGGACTGGAATCAGCCTTCCCATCCTTCTGACCCATTTCTGGGCTGCGGGAAAAATAAAATAAAATAAAATAAAAGCATCAAATACAACAGACCCACCCTGAAAGGGAAACAAACCAGCTACCACAATTTGGAATCCTCTGAGAAATTCCCGTAAGAGTCTTTGGGGGAGAGAAAAAAAATAACTTTAACCACATAGAACATAAGGCCAAATCCACTAGGGTGCTTAACATAGTCACTGGGTGGCATTTGTCCATATCTTTGCCATTGACGGTCCAACAAAAACACGATGTGATGGTCACAAGAAACCAAACATTTATTTCTATTGTCACTCTGTACAGGATACCAATTTTCACACCAACGAAAGGTTCTAGCTCAGGCAGCCCCTGAAGGAAGGGGCCTGGTTTGGAATGTCAGAAAACAGGAGAGAGGACGAACACGACATAAAATAATAATAATATTAAGAATAATAATAAACGATGCAACACTGATAAAACTATGGAAGAGGTTCTGCAACATCACCCTCCCAGCATGGGAGGGTCGCATTTTATTTCCTAGTTTCACATTCATTTTCAGTCTAGGATTGGGCCTCTGCTGTACAACGCTAGCCATAGTCATCATGCCCAGCTCACAGAACTCAACTGTACCCTTACCCTGCCAGGCATGACTAGGCCTTCCCCTCCTGGGGTATCCCAGTCCTTTTTTTCTTTTTTCTGAGACTCAGTTTCCCTGACAGTTCCTGCTTTGTCCAAGCTGGCCCCCAAACTCTTCCCTTTCCAGCCCCATGGTGGAAGGGAGTTGAGTGAGTAGTCATTGTCCCCCTTGACCGGGCACAGAGGGAGGGAGGTTATGTGTGTATTTTGTTACCATGGCCAAAACACTGTGCTATCTTGGCAGTCAGAGGGTGCTTTCGCTGGGTGTCAGGGGTAAGGGACAAAGGAAAAAAAAAAATCCAGGCTGTGTTCCAGCAGTGGCAGCAGCGGCAGCAGCAGAGGCGGCGGCCTGGCCTGGCCTCATTTGTTAGCCGAGTGTCGAGGTAATGGTCGCCACCGAGGCCCGTCCTCTCCTCGGCAGAGTAAACAAGACAGATGGGCCCAGGCCTGGCGTGATTAAAGATGAAACGTGGATCCATCTTCGCCAAAGCTGAAAATGAGGAGCTGAAGTCTCCTCCTATTTCTCTTTCTGTCTTTTTCTTCTTCCTTCCTTCCTTTCTTTCTTTTTCTTTCTTTCTTTCTTTCTTCCTTCCTTCCTTCCTTAGTTCCTTTCTTCTTTTCTTGGAAGAAAGCAAGAGACCTGAATCCTGCTTCTGGTGGGCATCCCCGGCTTCCTATTCCTATTGTCACTTTTATAAATAAAGCTTCCCTATCTCCCTTCTCTGTGTTTATTCATATAAAGTGAGAAAGGGTGAATAGGGATTTTTCCCTGGCCCAGGCCCCAGAGGGGATGGTCCCTTCCCACACCCCACATACCCCCCATCTCTGTACTTGCTGCCCACCCCCATTCCCCCAGGTTTGAGGCTCCTGTTGGGGTGGGCACTAGAGGCCAGGGGGGCCTCCGTTGGGTCGGCCAGGGGGGCCTCCGGTTGCGCCTGCGGTGCCACCCGAGCGTATCTTGGTGTTAGGCAACTTGTGGTCTTTCTTCCACTTCATGCGCCGGTTCTGGAACCAGATCTTGATCTGGCGCTCGGACAGGCAGAGCGCATGGGCGATCTCCACCCTCCGGCGCCGAGTCAGGTAGCGGTTGTAGTGAAATTCCTTCTCCAGCTCCAAGACCTGCTGGCGAGTGTAGGCAGTCCGGGAGCGCTTGGGCTCTCCGCCGGCGTAATTGGGGTTTACTGGACACACACAGAGAGAAAGGAGAAAGAGAAAGTTTTATTGCCCCCAGAAAGGGAGGAGGAAGAGCTCTTTCTTCCAGCTAACAGTCACCCCCTCCCTCTTTTCGCCACTCTTCTTCCCCTCCCACCCCCTCTGGGGTGAGGGTCAGAAAAGGAAGAAAGTGGGACGGGGTGGGGGGAGAAAAAGACCCCAAAGTTTTGAAAGAGTGTGCTTTCTTTCGCGGTGGTCGTTGCGTGGGGGTTGGGAGCAGTGAGGAATCTTACAAGGTTTTAAAACTCTCCCTCTTGGCCTGGGGGCCCCGGGGGTGGGAAAATGAGAGGTGGAAGAGGGAGGGGTGTGTCCCTAAACCTTTTTCCCTGTGTGTGTGCAGTTCCCACCCTCATGGCTCAGATTCCAAGCAATGCCTTCCCCTATTTAAAAAAAAAAAAAGAAAGAAAGAAAGAACAAGAACTTTTGCCCATATCTCCAGCCAAGGAGTCAGACTGAACCGAAAGGAAGAAAAACATATATATATATATATATATATATATATGCATATATAATACATATATATGTATATATATGGAGTTGATTCAAGTCTACTTAAATACAGATTACTACCGCCTCCTCTTCCCCTCCTCCCATCCCTCCCCAACTTCTTCTTTACTGAGACTGCTTTTCCCTGGCGGGGGGAAAAAATCGTCGCTAGTGAGAATGGAGAAGAGGATGGGGAACCGACTTCAAAGGCGCAGGGGCCCACCAGGCCATAAAAATTTATGGGGGATGTAATTATGTGGCTCTGAAAACAGGCGACCGTAAATCTCTGGCAATGGCGAGTTTATAGCGGGGACAATTGGCTTCCCCCAGCTCCCTCCCCCCCTTATGCCTCCAGTTCCCTTCGGTGTAAAGCGCCAGGGGTGGGAGGGAAGCGATGCCCACGCACTCACCCGTGCTCACGTGAACTTTGCGCATCCAGGGGTAGACGACGGGCTCTTTGCACGCGGAGTGGGACGGGCTGGGATGCAGGGGGTTCTGGGCGCAGGGAGGCGGCGGGGGGCTGCTGCTGACCGCCTCGCACCGCTGGCCGGGCTCCGAGAGGAGGGCCCCGGCGGGTGGCGGCACGGGAGCCCGAGGGGACAGGCCGGGCGGCGGCGGCGGCGGCGGCGGCGGGGGCGGCGGCGGGGGTGGCGGGGGCCCGGGGTCTCGGCAGGCCGCGTAGCGCTGCACGGTGCACGCCGCCCGCCGCCCGAAGCCCGCCTCCGGCTGGAAGCTGCTCTCTCGCCTCTGGCCGCCGGCGTAGTACCCGGGCGAGTGGTCGCTGGGTAGGTAATCGCTCTGTGAATATTCCTCGCACGGAGGGAACTTGGGGTCGACATAGTTTGAGTTGATCAAAAAAGAACTCATAGCCATTAATTTCTGGGAATTGCCCACAAAATATACTAAAATTTATTCCGACCCCCTGACTCGTTTTCCTGTTTCCGAAAGCCCTCCTACTTACTGTCAAGTGAACAAAGTTAGGGGCCCACGTGATCCTCGGAGCCAATGGCCACCCCGCCTGCGATTCCCGGATAAGGAAATCTGCTCACCCGGACTCTACTCCAGCCAAAGAGGTTTATTTCCCCTTTCTCCCCCCCCCCCCCCCTCCACACACACCAGGATTTACATAGGGCTCCTGCGAGGCGACCCCCTCCTCGCCTCGATCTCTCCCGCACCACGGAGAACCAGAGCCCGAGCGATCCAGGGCAAGCAGGTTGCGACTGGAAGGCCCATTGGGGCGATGGAGCTGAGCGCAATTCCCGGACCCCTTCAGAAGTTGGGGGCTCCCGATGTGGCCCCCTCCCGTCCTGTCTCACCTCTGCCCAGCCTTTCTTTGACTCTCAGATAGCTTCCATCTTCTCCCCAGATCCAGAGGAAGCCCAGGCACCCTGGGTCTATATGGGGAGTTAAGTGACTGGTGGGCTGGGGAGAGGGGGGGAAATGTCCGTTTCGAAAGGGGAGCCCACTGAGGATGAGGGACCCTAAGCTTGGGGCTTTTTCTTTGCAGCTAGATGGGGAGGGGAAGGGGGTGAGAGAGGAGGCGTGGGGAGCTAGAGGGCGGGGTGGGGGGCGCGCAGGGACTTGTCAGAGATGAATGGAACCTCAGGCGGATCGATAGGAAATTCATGCGCTAATTCGGGGAGACCTCGCTTTCCAAATCGCATTTAGCTGCTCTATTAGCTAGGCAGTATCCGTCAGTCTGTCTGTCCACTTCTATGTACTCCTTTCTGCCCCACATGGCCCAAGCTCAGAGAAATGATTTCTTCATAACCTGAAGAAAAGCGCTGGAGTTACAAAACAAAACAAAACAAGCAAACAAACACCCTGCAAGTTTTAAGAGCAAATTGAAGAGCAATTTGCTAATTCCAGAACCAACAGAGCAATACTAACCATGGCGCCGAGACTTTCTAATAGCCACTAATGTCACAACCTCCCAGACGAATAGAAATCTCACATGCTTGTGATGCTGGAGAGAAGAGCCCTAGTGGTGACCCGATCCTGATGCTCGCCCCCCCCAATAATACCCCCCAGTAACTTCATATTTCCAAGGCATCTTGTTCAAAATCCAAACGGAAAGGCAAACTCAGCATCCATTTGAAAGCGAATTTCCTTTGCCTTTGTATACATTCTGTAGGCAAGTCTCCCCCCCCCCCCCCCACACACACACTCCCCAGAATTTCCAATATATCCCTCTCCTAGCCCAGAATAGAACATGGCTGGGCTTGGGGTGAGAGGATTAAATTAAAACCACCATCAACAACATGAACTTTGTCAGTGTAAAAGGAGCAAGGCTCCCCCAGGGCAGATGAGGGGGAGTTCAGGTAGATAATTCCTCGCTCTCTAACCATGTGAGGAAGGAAAAGAAAAAGGATGAAAGAAAAAGGAAAGAGTCTTCTCCAGGCCGGTCACTGGATTGTCCTCATTTAGAAAAATAATGAATTTTTTTCTTCTGGAAAAAAAAAACAAACAACGAGCGGAGTGTTTATGTCAACTACATATTCCCCTAGATACGAATTTGTGACCACAAAATTCCTTACACAAATTCGGATCTACAGGGTATATACAGAAGACAGACAGATCTTCTTTGCCCAGAAATTTTCCAGTTCTCCTACTTTCCGAGGATTCTTCCTTTGGGGTGTAGTTTGATTTTATTTCGTTTTGTTCTAGTTTTGAGTTCTGGGAGCAGAACAAGGCAATATGGGTCCATTCTTGGGATCACAAGGTTTTCTGCTCTCCTCTTCTATTAGAAATAGAAGCAGCCAGTCCGCAAAGGGACTCAAACCGGGTGGCCCCCCCTCGCATGAATTATGAGATGTAAACATTAGCTAAGCACAAAAGGAGGAAGGGTCATCCTGAGGCTGAGTGAAGTCAGAATCAGGCCTTTCTGGGTGCTCTCCCACCCCTCCCCTCCCCCTAGAGCTATTTTTTTTTTTTTTTTAAGGAAAAAAACAAAACTCCAATCGGCTCCTCCCGTGTTCCTCACAGACTTCACTTGGCCTTTATTTTGTGATCAAACGAATATCTAGATATTTTCCAAAGCACCTCTAAAGCAAAGGGCGAAGGGACGGCGACCGGGTGTGAAAAGGGGGTGTAATAAAAGTCCTTTTGGAAATTTTCAATGGTTAAAAAAAAAAGAAGAAAAAAGAAAGAAAGAAAGAGAAACAGCTGTAAAGAAAAATGCTGGGAGACCAAGCAGATGGGGTCCTGGATATTTAATGACGGGCAATTCCGTTTACAACCTGAGAAAAAGATCAAAGGCATTTCATTTCCGAATGAAGGGCAATGAGGAACCATAAAAGATGCTGCCAGATGATGAGCTGCTCTCTCCCAGCCTTCCAAATGTTCGGGGGGCCAGAGAAGGGGAAACGGTAACCCAGAGGTGTGGGGAGGATCCAGTTCCCTACTTCTCCAGCTTCTTGAAGATACTCTCTGTCTAAACACACTCACATTGACTGTGCCCAGCCACCTGCTTAGGTGTCTGGCAGTGAGGCCAAAACACAAATCTGTAATTTCTCATCTTCCTGAGGCTCCCAGTAACTTCTGAATTGATTCACTAAACTGGGAAACTGAGGACTGGGCTGGAGGGAACTCAGGCTTAGACTGTGAGGAATAGAGACCAGGTGAGAGAAAATGTGCCCAAAGGAAGACTCCTCCCATCGTGGATGCCACCGCCCCCCACCCCCTCCAGGTTTGAGACATAACTTGTATCTTTACTGACCAAATCAGAAAACTCTCAAGTAAACTAACAAGTACAGAAGCAAACCAAAACAACCCTCTAACCACCACACTCCAGCCCATTCAATCTTGTGAGTAAAAGAGCTCCCACCTGCAGGCAACTAGGTGCAGAGACCTTCTGATAATGTTGTTGTTGGGGCTGGGAAGTTGGCTCAGTGGTAGAGCGCTTGCCCTGATAATGTTGTTGCTGTTATTTCTTAATCACAAATCTAGGCCCTGCCAATGTTGGCCTCTGGGCCTGGTTTCTAACACCAATGCTCTCCTAGCTAGGCGGGCACCACACATAATTGGAGGAAACGAATTACATTATAGTTATGATCTTTGTCCACAGAGGGTCCAATAGGTTAATCTCAGACCTTCCTCTGGGCACCTAGGAAAACTGAAGTCCAGCCATGAGGGCCACAAAATGTGTTGGTAGGATTGTCACCAGCTCAATGGAATCAAGGATCTTTCTAAACCTTCTAAAATCCAGGGGCTCCAGGACCTACTCCAAGCAGCCAGGCCCCTCCCCCAACCCATACCTCCTGTCCTCAACTCCAGCGCTCGTGGAAACCCGTCCAACCCGTCGGCTTTTCGGAAGTTTGAGAGGGCCCCTGGGCCGGGTGCTGGGCCTCTCCGCTGCTGTACACTTCACGAGGGATGCGGCCCAGGTGTCCAGAGCACGCCAAGAGAAGACTTAGGGGACAGAGCCACTACAGAATTGGAGATGGTTGATCCTGGGTCCAGAGACCACAGAAATTTTCTCCTCTGCGCGCTGGGAGCCGCCACCTGCCCATCCCAAGGCGCCGTGCCCCCCACCTACCCCCTCTGTAGCCGAATGCAGCCGCCAGGGGTGGAGGACAGCGTACATCTGCGGATCACCAGGACGGATTTCACCAACGCAAGAGGCAGCCTTCTCCCCTTCCACACCCAGAAGAATACCAACAGCAATATGCATAATAATAAAAAACAAGAAAAACAAGACGGTCGCGCTCGTTCCGTGCCACCACCCTGCGCTCCCGGGTCATTTGGAGACTTCCGGGCCGCCAGCTCGAGGCAGCCACAGGTTGCTAACTGGACCTCTGCCTACCCAGCCCCTCTCCACCATCCACAGAGTACCCAGGCCGGGAGGAAGTGTCCACTTTTGTCGGCGCAGAGAACGGGGCGCAGGGAAGTAGAGAAACCCAAGGGCCGAGCCGAGGCCAGTCGCCAGCCGCCGGCGCATCGGCAACCGCCCTGAGAAGAAGACCCAGAAGAGGAGCGGGCTAGAGTACTCACCGGACCGCTCCCGGTGTCAGACCCGCTGGACAAACAGCTGAGATCGCTCGTGTCCCCTATTGTGTGTCCGGAAAACCGAACCTTGGCTGCGGGGCCCGAGGAACCAAAGGCCCCCTTCGGAGGCCGGAACAAGACTTTTTTTCTTTCTTTCATTCTTTCTTTTTTTAAGTGTGTTTTTGTTTTTGAAGCTCAAGTTTTCGTATTAATCTCATACTTTGGCAGTCTTTGTTAAACAGCTGGGCGTGTCACGAGGCTCTCGAACATTTTAATAATTTTTAGACGCTGTGACCTGCGGTTCACCCCTCTCCCAACCTCCCCCACAAGCAGGCAGTTGCTAGAATATGCTCGTGCAGTTCGGCTTGGTCATATTGAATTTTGCGCAGGTCATTACTTGGGAGAAAAATTACAGAGCCGGGATCTGATTCAACTCATCTTCTCCTGTAGGATTTTTTTTTTTACCAGATCCTTTCTTTTTCCTTAATCTAACCCCTCCCCCCCCCAAAAAAAAATAGTCCCATTCAGAATCCTCTGCTCCAATTTGATGTTCCATTATTCTTGTAATCTGTGTGTGTGTGTGTCCTGATTCCTAGGACAAACAGGGAGAACGTGGGGAAAGTGGGATACCATTGGAAATTCTTTTGAGACCTGAGAAAGAGGTGGGTACCTAAGAACTCAAAATGTCCCTTTAGATATCTGGACCCCAAGCGGAGTACAGGCCTGAGCCAGCAGCTCCCGTCCATCTGCTCTTCTAAATGCCTGCAATCACAGGTCTGTATCCTGACCACTGACAATTTCATTTGCTTTATTTACTTCTTCAAGTACCAGAAACACTTCTACTTCTGTCAAAACTTTGGGGGCTCCAGGGCCTCGAGCATGAGCCCTCTACCTCTTAGGGTAGGCACATTTGAGGAAAACAGAGAGAATCCCAGGAGAATGGCTGGGTAGCACTGGCCAAAGCTGGGGATTTGGTATTTGGAGGCTTTAAGCTATCATTTCAAAACAAAATACACCTCCCCCCCAGTTTATGTAAAAGACACATTTCTCATCTATACAGTAACCCCT